CGAAGGAGGACTTAGCGCTCCTGAAGACAGAATCTCAGAGGTTTCTGCAGGCGGAACTGACGTGAAGGATCCACAGGACATTATCCCAGAGGTTGGTAACACTATATTCAAAAAGTGTGAGTTAACTGAACCGGAAGCAGAATCTGTATTTGACACGGCATTTGCCTCTCATACACCTTGCCATGTGAAAAATGAAATTGAAACTTCTCCAAGTGAAGAAAAACAGTCTGTTGAACACCTCAACAGAGCTTCGAGTTCCTCCAATTCTCTCATCGGTCTTTCCACAAGGATAAAATCGGAAGGAGAAAATGAAAATGGAAATTGGAACGACGAGTTACATACCAGTATTGAGATTAAAACCGAAGACCCTCTTCAGACTGACAACTTTGAATGCACATACGTAGAGCAAGATAGCGAACAAGATTTTAAAAATGAGATTCAAAATCATATTCCAACCACGACAAGTAAACCGTTCAGTTGCAGTCGTTGCTCGGCCCCTTTTGCTAAAAAATGTACTTTAAAAACACACATCCGAACACACCCTGGTGAGAAACCATTTACTTGCAGCCAGTGCTCGGCTTGTTTCGCTGGAAAAGGATATTTAATACAACACATGCAAACACATACCGGTGAGAAACCATTCACTTGCAGTCATTGCTCGGCTTGTTTCGCTAGAAAAGGAAATTTAATACAACACATGCAAACACATACCGGTGAGAAACCATTTACTTGCAGCCAGTGCTCGGCCCCTTTTGCTCAGAAACAACAGTTAAAACGCCACATGCGAACACATACCGGTGAAAAACCATTCACTTGCAGCCATTGCTCGGCTTGTTTCGCTGGAAAAGGAAATTTAAAACGCCACATGCGAAAACATACCGGTGAAAAACCATTCACTTGCAGCCATTGCTCCGTCTGCTTCGCTCAAAAAGGAACTTTAAAACGGCACATGCGAACGCATACCGGTGAGAAACCATTTACTTGCAGCCAGTGCTCGGCTTGTTTCGCTGGAAAAGGAAATTTAATACAACACATGCAAACACACCCTGGTGAGAAACCATTCACTTGCAGCCATTGCTCGGCTTGTTTCGCTGGAAAAGGAAATTTAATACAACACATGCAAACACATACCGGTGAGAAACCATTTGCTTGCAGCCATTGCTCGGCTTGTTTCGCTATAAAAGGAAATTTAATACAACACATGCGAACACATACCGGTGAGAAACCATTTACTTGCAGCCATTGCTCCGTCTGCTTCGCTCATAAAGAAACTTTAAAACGGCACATGCGAACACATACCGGTGAGAAACCATTCACTTGCAGCCAGTGCGCGGCCTGTTTTGCTCGAAGAGCTTTACTAGCGGGACATATTCGAACGCACACCGGTGAGAAACCATTCAGATGCAGCCATTGCTCGGCTTGTTTCGCTGGAAAAGGAAATTTAAAACGCCACATGCGAACACATACCGATGAGAAACCACTCAGATGCAGCCAGTGCGCGGCCTGTTTTGCCGATAAAGGTAATTTAAAGCGGCACATGCGATCACATACCGGTGAGTAACTTTTTATTTGCAACCATTGCTCGGCCCGTTTTAGTAAAAAATGTTCTTTAAAAGCACACATGCGAACGCACACCGGTGGAAAACCATTTAATTGCTGCCAGTGCTCGGACTGTTTTGCTCAAAAATTAAGCTTAATACGACACATGCGAATACATACCGGTGAGAAACTATTCAATTGCAGCCATTGCTTGGATGCCTTCGCTTTAAAAGGAAATTTAATGCGACACATGCGATCACATACCGCTGAAAAACCGTTCAAATGCAGTCACTGCTCTGCCTGTTTCCCTCTAAAAGGACATTTAAAACAGCACACATACTGGTGAGGAACCATGTAGTTGCTCACATTACAACATATTTTTATCGATGCCAGCAGATCTAAGATTTTTTTTTCAAATTTGTCATTGGTTTAATTGATTTAA